CCCGACATCGTCGTCGACAACAACTACATACTGAGCCTTAGCCCAGCACTGCACCGTCGAGTTCGAGTTCGACAATCAGGTCCGCATCCTTTTCAAAACTGTTTGACGCCTACTTGCTGCCCATTGAGGATAACTAGCAACAACAACAACAACAACAACAACGGCAGCAGGAACAACTTACTTACAATTCAATTGAAGTAGCTGCTAAAATTGTTACTTGACATTTTTCCGCAAATATTTCAAATTAATTAAGCGAAAAATTTGGTAGCCTGCAACGGCGGCAATTCACAAAGGACGACGCACAGGTCCTTCCGTGTACAACAAGATGCACGCTGATTTGTTGTTCTACCTGTCCGCACACAGCAATGGGTGTGGCAAGGTCATAAATAAATACGCAGACTGGCGAAGCAAAGGATTTGAGAATTTGACCGGCCTTACGGCCACTGAATGCCATTGATATATTTAAACCGATAATCGCCATATCGCAAGTGTTATCTTTTGTACCAGCTCGCTGCTTGTGTGTGGGAAAACTTGTGCGTCTTTTGTTGCCGCAAATTGTCATAAAATTTCACATAAAAAACTAGTTACATAGTTACTGGTTGGCCAAGATATTCGGGTGGTCTGCTAAGTAAACCAATACAAAACGAAATATAAATATATATGTATATTTACGTATATATATATATATATATATAGATTACCAACAGATTAGATTAAATGTCGAAACTTGCATATGTAAATAAAACTGCATAAAGAGATATCAAAAGACATTAAAACTTTTTTCGTAACTGGAAAACATTATTAAATAAAAAATACATATATAACCAGTACATACATTTGTACAAAAAATAATAACAGACTCCAAAAACCAACAATAATCTATAAACAAAAATGAAACATCATGTTACATAAAATACGTGTATCCATAATTTTTTTTTAAATGGCTTTAATCTTTTTTCGCTGGTAAAGATGGATCGAACTTGACGTTATATGTAAATATAACTGATTGACTGACATCACATTTTCAAAGATCTACAATACAAAATTTTTTTACTATTTGCGTTTTAGTGATGTAAACATTTTATAGTTTTAAAATAAATCTAAGTCAGCTTCACCAAATGTTATTATTATTGTAATTTGATTTAAAATCAAAGCTGTGCAAATTTGTTGTTTAGACGGAAATTATGCAGACTTTTTCTACTTAATAAATGGAATATATACTTAACAGCACCGAAAATTAATAAGACATGTAATTAATATTCTTTTAGACTTTAGGTCTCTTAGTTTATGTCTGGACACAATTTTTGTGAGATTAGGCATTTAAACAGCCTTGATCCTTTTGGGGGGATAAGAGCTATCAGTTGATCTAAGACTCTTTTTTTGCTTGGTATAACTTCTGTCACTAAACGATCCATTCTCTGATTCACAGTTAACGGACTAGATCGGTTATATAGCTCATCTAACGAGGACTGCAATAAGTGAAGTGAAGTTTGAACATTCCCCTAAAATCTATATGATGCAAATTTGGCTAAGGATAGAATTAAAAAGTTGACTTTCTTAACTTTTATTCCTGCTGCTCTATCAATATTGAGTTTTTTATAGATGTGCGAATAGTATGTTAATTGAATGCATGTTTATAATTCAATTCTATTTAAATTGCAGTTTAGGGTTCCTCTGTCTGTAATAGTAGCAGTAATAGTCGATTCGCGAGGAAATGGAGTCGAAACAATTATTCTGTTCAGCAGGCAGCTATTTAATTCCCAATATATCCTGGTCGTTTCCCCCACAAAGCTTCGTTTCGCATTGTTAAGACAAATGTCCTTCTGTGTGAAAAGATAACTGTATTGTTGCCTGCAGTTTTCAGCTGAATCCGTAGCACTGGCGGAAATATCATAGAAAATCTTGGCACCTTCGGCCGCCTAGAGAATCGAGAAGTTCATCAGTCTAAAGCCAATAGTCAATTGTTTGTTATGCAAAAGCCTTACTTTAATTGAGGCACATCTGAAGGCATCGTAGGCGTTCGGGGAACTGTTACAGCAAGTCAATCCACTGCAGGTGCATTCCTTCTTAAAGTCGATCTCAACTTGTTGGCTGGATGTTTCAAAGGTGCTGAAGCAGACATCGTATGCTACTTGATGTTCAGCTGTAGCGTGGTCCAACTGAGGATTGTAGTAGGTGAAGCACATCGATGAGGTCGCCTGGTTTCCTTCGGCCAGAACCATGCTCTGACTGTGTAGTTGCCGAATCTTGTCATCGGTGTTGAGTGCAAACTGCAGCTTGCGAACGAGATCAATGCTGATGCTCAGGCTCAAAGGAGAACTCTTAATTTGAGACACATATTCACTTCGATTTTTACTGCTGCGATTCTAGGCAGAGCTGTTTGTTTCCAAGCTTTAACTATTTCGGCTGTATTTATATACACTCTGGATGGATGCGGCACTGCATTATATTTTCATTATCTTTGTCGTTGTCATCACAAGAGTTAAGTTCTCCTTATCAATATGTAAAAATTTTTCCAACATAAAATATTTTTGGTTAAAACCCGTAAAAGTTATCAACAATAAACAAATATATTTAAAATATTGAAATTAATAAAGGACTCATTCCCATATGTGATTTTACTTTTATAATTCGTGTTTGTAAATTTATTTGAGGTCTGGAAATCTATTGAAAATCGCTTAAGCTAGGCAATGAACATCTTGGATCTGTAAAAAGCTATACCTTTAATCTTTCATTATTATCAGTAATCGACTTCCTTCGATATTTGTTTTCGATCAAATTTAATGACCGTAATCTGCTCGTGATAACAACTTATAAATAGACAAAGCGACAGGCAGACAGACTAGGCAACTAGATCGACTCTTTTTTGCTGATTAGGTTATAAAAACAATTAAAAACTGTGCTATATGAGGAAGGAAGATGAATGTTATTTTAGTTGTAAGATCAGAAATAAAATTGCGCTGAAAACCAATTGGAAAAGAATGTCAAAAACTTAGAAACGCTTGCCACATAACTACACTTCAGAAATAGTTTATACTGTCAAGAAATATATTTCAAAAAATTTATAAATGTTCACCTGATCTTTAGACATTCTTTTTAAAATTCAGATTAAAAGGCACACAAATTTCTCTCGCAACTTCAAGGTTAGAGTTCAGTTTTTTTTTTTCAAATTAAATGATACTGAGATAATAAGTTAACTAAAATTACTTTACAAGTTTTAAGAGCAGAAAAGAATGTTCATCTAAAGTGAAAGTATAATTAAATGGGCAGACCTCGGCATGGTCAGGCATCAGGACCAGGGCAGTGCCAATGGTCAAAAACAATGCAAACAATTTCAAAAACATTATTCTTCGAAAAGCGATGAATGTGCCTGGCCGAAAATTGCGTGCTGCTTTTTATTTGCTTGAAATTAATATGATTTGCTTGCCTCACAAGGTTACATATAATATACAAGCAAATATGTTCACATTTAGTGTTGATTACAATAAAATAACAAATATTTCAATAACTGAAGAAAGTTTCATTAGGTTTTTTGTTTTGTTTTTCAATTATAAGTCTCATGTGAATCAATTTCCAAAAAAATAAACAGTCAATCATCATAGCCTCGAAGAACGGAATTGAATTACCGTCATCTAATTTGTCCTATAAAATTACTTAGCCAATCGATTGTTCTTATGAAAGCTAAATGATAAAGTAGTTCGATAACACGCATAACTGGTGAGTTTGCTTAGGTTAAATTGTTAAACAGAATATGATATGGTCAGACTGTTCTTCAGTCTGTTATATATTATTATATAACTTCAATCTAATATTTTTATCAATTCAGGGTAGAAAACCCGATTGGCGCTGCATGTTATTTTGTCAAACAGTTGTGTTTATGCAATGACGCCACCTTTCGGACAGCTTACAAACCACAAAAAATGATGCGATACATCGATATTTTAATCACCGGATGGTTGATGCGTCCGTAAATAGTAGCGATTATAATGTGTTATGCGTTGCCTGTCGAAATCACCAATATATCGCTCAGCCGGCTAGCTATCGGCTCAGGGGTAGTTCGACCGCGATATATTGGGCGGCAAGTTAACAAAAAATTTGTATTCTTTTATAAATAAAAAAAAAAACAAATATTTCCATCAAACCAGTCCGCTTGCTGTTGTGTTGGTTGTGTGGATGTTGTACAGCCTGCGTGTCCCTCCCTTCCTAGTGGTTCCACCTCTAAATTTCCTGCAGAAATTTCCTTTCACAAATATTCTTTTTTCGCTTGTTTCTCATGCCCTCATCTCACCCGATCACATTGAATTACCACCTCATATTCATTTTTTTCAGACTATTTAATTTACAACTCATGTGATACATGTGACATCGTGATCCCTAACATTTTGTTGGCCAACACTAAATTCGCTTATATATATTTAATACAATTTTATCTATCTACTTAATTTAAAGCTTACAAAATATTTTTCTTTTCTGTTTTTATTTCGCTTCAAAAGTGCGCATCACTGAGTGACAAAATGAGCATCACTATTGCATTGGTTAGGGCCGATCAGCTGTCTTTGGCTCACTCTGCCGCAGTTAGGCGGGAACAAATGTTGATATAATCCGAGGCGTCTCAGGGTCTCCGGGCTTCGACTTCCTGTTTCCTGAGTCCAGTTGTCCCTGGCGATTTTCTCCTTGATGATAGTTCCGCCTGTTGCTGCCGCCGGTTTGTATGTTTTTATTTTATTTATCTTTTTTACTTTTGCTTTATATTTATTTATTTTGCATTATTTTATTTTATATATAATTACTTCATAATTTATTCATAATTAATTTATTTGAATTTCTTTTTAAATAAATCTTTTTGCAGCGCATGCGCATGCGGTCCCCCTTCCTCTTTTTTTCTTCCTTTTTTCTTTCCCCTATTTTTCTGAAGATGGTCCCCATCGATATCCCTCGTCTATCGATCTATCTGCCGAGCATTACAAATGTGATATATTATTAATTTTAATCGATATATCGATATATCCTATAGATATCAACGTCAGTTTCTGCTCTTTAGTGCTTGTTTTTTTTCAATCAAAACATATATTTATTTTGAGTTACTAAAATAATTGCATTCATAAGATTCCATAGTGATTACACGCCTATCCACCGGGTCACTGGTGCATCTCGTTCGGTGACGCATAAATCAAACAAAGAAAATTTTCTTTATCTGCCAAGAACAGTTACTCACACAGCAACACTCACACACATACAGACGGACGCACGCCAACAACAGCAAGTGAGTGGAAAAGTAATCACCGAAAAAATTGAAAATTTTTTAGCGAGACAATTAAACTGATTATTATGTTGTTCAATTTCTGGGTGTGCACAATATGCTGGCGTGCATGCAAAAATGGAAGGGCGGGTGTGAGTGTGTGTGTGTGATCATGAAGAGCTTGATATTCATTATCTACTTTTCCTCGTGTTACCTCAACTGTGCTCAAGTGATGAGCGCTCTTTATGGAAGTCATGTAACTTTAAAATACGTGTGCACAGCAAAGCTCGCACTGATTATAAAACTAACACCTACGCTGAACCGGTGCTCTAAGGGCGTAAGTGGGCGTGTCAATTGGCCAATATTACATTTTTAGCTGTTGAGCACGCGTCTGTGACAAATCGATGTGCAAAGTGAAGCAAAACAACAACAAAGCAAAGAACAAGAATAAAATCAAATAAAAGCGCTACTTGCATTGGTCGAGTCGAGTGTAGGCGGTAACAGCTCAATACGCATCCTTTATTCCGTATGTTTGTATGTGTGTGTATGTTTGTGTTTGTATGTGTGGGCGGGTAAGAATATTGGTATTGGTGTTAGTGTATTAGTGTCTATACTCTTTCTTCAGCAAAGGAAGTCGGTGAATATTGGTTTCGTGACATATATATATATATATATGAATATAAATATGTATGTAAATATGTTTCTATGCTGGCTTAGGCCCGCTTCAGATAAATTCACTATGCCTATTTTGCTAAGATTTCTGATTAACAAGGCGAAATTTTTCCCGCCACATCAGGTTTCAATTCACCAACTTGCAGGCAGTGGCAGTTTGATCATAGTATTGTATGTATTCTTAAAGAACTGACATCTCTTGCACACCAAAAATTGTATAAATCCTTGTAGACAGGAGTTAATCGGCTGTCATCTAAATTTTAATTCGCGGATTGTTTTCCAATTTACTGACTGACTGAATTTTCCACATCTGTGTGGTTATCAGAAGAGGTTACATGTATCATTCGACCAATTATTCCTATGGCAGCCATATGATATAGTGATCCGAACCGACGTCACAAAATTACGACAGTAAGTTTTAAGTAAATTGGAATTCAATTTAGTCAAAAAGGACAAAAGAATATGGTTATATCGACTCGTCAATTGATGCTGATAAGGATTACATATACTGTACGACACGATTATAATACAAGGGTATATAAATCAAATGATTGTTTCTATGGCAGTCCTAATGATAAGAGCTTTATAAAAAGTGTACTTAAGATAAGATAATATTTCATCCCGTCGATAGTTGCCAAGAAAATTAACGAATTTGAATTGATATATATATATATATATTAAAACTGGATTTTGCATTTGCATTTTGAAATTACAGGAGAAGCACAATTGAAGCGATCGACTGACCGAAAGAGTAATTCCACTAGGGTGTGTGTGCAGTACACAACATTATGTTCAATAGGTATGGGAGCATTCCTGGATAAACCGAAAACAGCCAAACACAATGATCAGGGCGCGGGCAACAAGCTGCTCTTTGGCGTCAGCTCGATGCAGGGCTGGCGCTGTGAGATGGAGGACGCGTATTTTGCAAAGGCGCGTCTAGGGAATTCTCTGGAGGAGTGGAGCTTCTTTGCTGTCTTCGATGGTCATGCGGGCTGCAAGGTATCCGAGCATTGTGCCCAGCATTTGCTGGAGAGCATCATCTCGACAGAGGAGTTCAAGAGCGGTGATCATGTGAAGGGCATACGCACTGGCTTCCTGCGCATCGATGAGAAGATGCGACAACTGCCCGAGTTTACCCAGGAGGAGGAGAAATGCGGAGGAACAACGGCCGTTTGTGTATTCATCAGCTCAACGCAGGTGTACATTGCCAATTGCGGCGATTCGCGAGCGGTGCTGTGCCGCACCGGTGTGCCCGTGTTTGCCACCCAGGATCACAAGCCCATTCTGCCCGAGGAGAAGGAGCGCATACACAATGCGGGCGGCAGTGTGATGATTAAGCGAGTCAATGGTACACTGGCCGTGTCACGTGCCCTTGGCGACTATGACTTCAAGAACGTTAAGGAAAAGGGGCAGTGCGAGCAGTTGGTTTCACCGGAACCGGAAATCTTTTGCCAAAGCCGTCAGGACACCGATGAGTTCTTAGTCCTCGCCTGCGACGGAATCTGGGATGTGATGAGCAACGAGGATGTATGCAGTTTCATCTACTCGAGGCTGAAAGTGACCACAGATCTGGTTAATATTGCCAATCAAGTGGTTGACACCTGTTTGCACAAGGTACAGCGTGTACAGCACGTAATCAATGTTGCTTTGCTTACATAATCAATCCTAATATTGTATCTCTCGTTCGACTCATAGGGAAGCCGTGATAATATGAGCATCATAATAATTGCTTTCCCCGGAGCACCAAAGCCAACTGAAGAAGCAATAGAATCTGAGCGACGGTTGGAGGAACAAATCGAGAAGATTACAAGAGGTTGTCTAAGTCGTCTAGTCTGTTTATAACTAATCGTAAACCTAACGATAGTCGTAACGCCATTGCGTGTTTATGTCTGTGCCGTCGTCGCCCCTCCACCTATCGACGAGCCCATCGACCAGATCGAGGCGACTATAAGAGAACAAAAAAAAAACGAATACATTGTACCTTACGTAACGCAAACGCAAACGAAAGAGAGCCCCAAAAACGTTTGCATATATTAGTAGATTATAATTATACACTCATATAAATACACCAAGGTGTATTTGTTAGCTAGCTAGATAACTGAACAAATCTAATCGTACCCGCAATGCAAAGTGCACTTGCAACAAGATGTTCCTTCCAAGTGACACTCAAAAACAACAATTGCTATAACCATTGCCATTACCAAGTCCATTCATACATATATATATATATATATCTATATATATACACCTAATTAAGTAGACTTACCCACATATACATATGTAGGTCCTATTGCTAATGCATAGTAAATAACTAGATAGCGTGTTACTTTCTCATATCCACTTCCACTGGCTGTGCGTGTGGCTGAGTGACTGTATGTGCGTGTGTTATGTATGTGTGTGTATGAATGAGTATTCAGTATTATTTATTTATTTCTTTCTTTATACATCGGCCTTAGGGCGTTTTGTGTGCTACAGCAACTGCCAAAGTGCTCGTAAGTGAGCGAACACCATATATAGCTAAAGAAACCAAAAACAAAAAGAAAACCTCATCCCATTTAGATATTACTATTGTCATATGCATATATAAACATTTAGTATGTAGTAGTACCCTAAATATATTGGCAATGTTTGATTAATCCTACCAAGAGTTGTAGTTGAGGCCCCATCAGTCAGTGTACATATGCCTGTATATAATCCTATATCTATCCGACCATACATTATGCCTATATTTGTAGCTCGATCAAGTTCAAATAGAATGAATTATTGTTTAACGATGCCAGAAACAACAATAAGAAAATATTTTAGTCAATAATGATGGCAATAGACTATTTGTATTCGATTTTCGAGAGTAGATCAAACAGAGCAAATAATTAAATAACGATTGTGGACAAATGGTGGGAATTGATGTAGATGAGTCAATAGTCAGTGCTGAAGTATTAAGTAAATCGTGTTCAGTGAGAACCACAGATCCTAGGTTACTAACCCACATACTCCCCCACACAGTATTCATGACACCAAAGTGAATTTTGAAAACGACCCTAAGGTCAAAGTCCAAAATGTAGATAATTACTTTATTGTATGTAAAATGTGTCAAGCCCCACAAATATGATCCCACTACTCAAGTATATTGAAATCTAGTATTAAGTACAACCAAATAGAAAAAGGAGAAGCTAGATAAATCAAATGTCCAGACAAATTACTTAGCCTAGGTAAACGATTTTGAATGCCAGGCCTTAGGGCAGATGAGCCCGATATTAAGTGAAAATGAAACCAAAATTAAGTATTGTAAACCTTATGCTCACCAATTGTTGTGCTTGTTGTCAACGTAAAACCCGATTTACTTTAAAATGTTACATTTAGAAATGCAATTGAGGCGACACAGCGAAGCTAAACCAAATCAAATCAGGTCGAAAATCTGAGAACACTTGTACCTAAGTACTATAGCAATCATTCATAATTGAAATCGCTTGCAGCTTAGGCAGCGGCGTTTATCTAGCAAATAATTACTAAATGGAATACAACAAAACAACCAAACTAATTAAATAATTCTTTTGCTGCTAAGTAAAAATATATAACTTGAAATGAAAGATTCGAAAACCAATCAACCAAACGTGTTTGTTTGCTGTGTTGTTAAGTTTTCAGTTTCCATTCAACACAATCGCTGCTTTCAACACACAAGCCGCCCCGCCACCCCTTCCTCTATACACATGCAACACAAACAAAAAAGAGAAAAAAAACCAAACAACTCACACATTTCACGTGGTGAATATTCAATTTAATCCTTTTTCATTTCCATTAGTTTCTTGTACATCTAATATGCAGCATTGTGTTTTATTTATGATTGATCAAGTTATTCACAATTTTAATTTCTGAAGTTACTTTTTGGTTGTTGTCTATTTGTTTGTTTGAAGGATCAGTCGAAACTAATAACTTATTTATTCTTTCTACGAAAATTGTAAAAGTAAATTTAGCGAAGGCGGTGTTCTTGTTTTTTTTATCGTTGATCGCGCATCTTAATAAACCAAAAAACCAAAAAAAAAATAAACACAAAATGAAAATGGGCGTGTCAAGTCAATGCCAGAAAACAGAAAGCCAATCAATACAAATTATTATGATGAGTGAGCATAAGGTAAGGCACATAGATACCAAACACACACAAATAAGAACAGTAAATGATATGCATGCTCTTAAGATAAAATGAATTATTATACATGTTATTCAATCACTTTTACAAATTCGATATTTTCAAATGTTTGTCGTACACTGAATGCTGTAAACAGTTTTCTCATCAACCAATCCCAATGCAAAGATATCACACACAAGAAATGGGACAAGGCAGAACTTTGTCCCTCTCTCTCTCTCGTATTCCTTCTTTTTTTTTTAAGTGTACTCCCGACCTTGTGAAGTGCCACCCCATTTGTTATATTATTTAAGATTACGTTTACGATGCAGGCCAATCGAATTGAAAACCATAAATATAAAAAATATAACTATAATTCGATTAACCTGCATCCACTTAGTCAAAGCTTTGTTGCTCAATTTTTGTCGGCTCTTGCTGTTGCAACATATTTCGTGTTATATTTTTGATAAATTGTAATTTTGCTTTTGCGTAGCTTTAACATATACATATAATTCGTATTTTATTGTACATACCAATTCCATTAACATGAGCTGTAATTTTAAGCTATGTGCCCTTGAATTTATCACACTAATTATTTGTTTATATATTTCTTTTGGCATTCTTACAGAGGAAATTGCGAGTAATAAGGAAACCGATTATGTGGAACTGTTAAAGTGTCTACAGAGCAAAGACGACATTGAAGGTCTTCCACCAGGCGGCGGCCTGCAGTCCAAGTATGTTGATTCTAAACTTTAATGTCAATGATAGAACAAACATATAATGAGGAGTTCTTGTTGCTTTTCAGATATCACATTATCGAGCGCACATTCAAGGCGGCATTTCCGGATAAACCATGTGAAGTACGAAATATTTTTTTCAATCTTTAAAAGTTGCAATTTCTGATTACGCTGCACATTTTATTGATGCTTATATCGTTTTCTATAATTTTGCTTAAGCTTTCTCATTTTCTTTTAGGTTCATTTTCATTTCCATTGTTGCTTTTTATGCTTATTTAATAGCTTATCTCTCTCTCTCTATCTATCTCTCACAACCACCACTACTGTAACTTGAAACTAATGTAGAATCACTATTGTTTATTCTCTAACAACGAGGATGCATCCCCAACTAATTGTTGTTTAACAAACCGAAAGCTCTTTACGTATTCTCTTTCTTTTATTTCTAGCAGTATGCATATGATGAGCTATGAATTTTTTAATGCTAAATATTGTTCATTTCTAAATCAACAAAAACAACAACAACAACCACAACAACAACAACCAAACATCCAACCAACAAGAGAACAAATGAAACTAAAAACAAAAACCTTTTAAATTCTAAGTGTAAGGCCAAAACCAATTTGTTGTTTGCGTCTCTTCGTTTTTTACAATATAGTAGATAATGAACAACCTACCGTTAGATTTGCAGCATCCAAAAAACAAAACAAATAAAAAATAACCAGGCGCTCTGCATGTTCGCTCTGCTCTACCCCGCATGCTCATCCAAAAACAATAATTATAATAATAATAATGAAGATAATACAACGATAATAATAAAGAATTTAACTGATTGTTATGATTGTAATGAACAACTTCACTAAACTCTCTGCCTCCACACACACACACACACCACGCATGTAAGACCCCGTGCTGGCTGTGCTTGTCCTTGATCTTCCTCAGACCTCAGACCTCCAAGCACTTAATAATCTGTACTTTCTTGTTATCTTGCAGAGTCCAACGCATTAAATTGCAAACAAACAAAGTCAACAAATGCAACCACAAGAATGTAATAACAACAGTAACTCTACAAAACAAACAAACACACACACAACAAACAAACAAACAACACACACACACCACAACCGTTTTCTACTTTGATAAAAACAAAAACAAACAAAAAAAAAAAATGAAAAAGAAAAAACCTACTCCAAATAATATAAATAACCATTATTATATAGTTGAAATGAAAGCCAGACTAAAACAAAACTACACGAACCTTGTATTATGTAGATCATACTAATAGAAAGGAGCGAACCTTAGCAGACATCAGACCTAGAATCGATAAATAAAGCAACCGATAACCGATAACAGATACAATGAACAGGGTTTGGCTCAAAGCCAAGACACATTTCAAATGCAGACAACTAACTCTTCACATCAGATACTACACATATATTTACTAGATACACAGATACAGACATAGTACATGAATGCAGATGCCAAATGCAAATGCAAAAAAGCAATACAGATCAGATCAGAAACGATACGTCTTACGTCTTACTTCTAAGTTAGTCACTGGTCCATCATCGTAACTGTCGTTCCGTCATGCCTCATTAACACATCAAATTTATATATATATATATACATATATATATATAGAAAGCATTCATACTAAACTGTTGACTCGCCTTTGTTGCCCGCCTCCTTTGAACTGAGCAGATAGTTCAGCTGTGTAAAGTTTTTACCAAATACCTATTTTAGCCCTGTGTAAGAAAGTCGCTCGGGTGATGTCTGTACAAGAAGTTTTTAATTTTACTTTTCAAACTGTATTAATATTGATTCCGAAACGAAGCGGATTTTTGTAAGCTGTATAATGTTTGTTACTGAAGGATCATTTTTGTTCATTATTTTTATATATGTATATGAGAGATATCCGATTAAAAAAAAATCCCAAAAAAAAAAATATGTAAAGAAACGAAAGAAAGAAAACTGTAATGGAAAACTAAACCTATTAATTTGTAAGAAGACAAATTATTAAGAAACATACAAAACAAAAAAAAAAAAAGAAGAGAAATAACGCCCGAGTTTGTAGTAAATGTTGATATAAAAAAAAAGAAAAGAAAAAAAACGAATTTCTGTGCAATTATTCGATCAATCGTTTAGCTGCACCGTATACCAGTCGTATCACCTCCAGACCCGACAGGTGTTGTCCTTCGAGGCAGTCAATACGGCATCTCCCGCATAGCTGTAGGCGCAGCTAAACACCTCCGACTCGTGGCCGCTCAACACCTGGGAGCACTGCCCCGTCTCCGTCAGCCACAGCCGTGCCGTGTTGTCTGCCGAGGCGGAGAGCAGCATACAACCGCTGGGACTGAAGCACACCTTGTTCACTTCGTCACTGTGGCCGGCCATCAACGAGAGCATCTCCAGCGGCTCCAAGCTCCAGACACGGGCAGTGCAATCACTGCTACAGGTAGCCAACTGCTTGCCAGCCGCATCGAAGCTCACGTCCAGCACCTCGTCGCTGTGCTTGGACACGAGGTGCAGCTCCTGATCCAGGCGACGCACATCCCAGACGCGTGCAGTGCGATCCAGGCTGCCGGTGGCAATCATTGAACTGCTAAAGTTCCAAACGCAATTCGACAACTCTGCGCTGTGTCCGCGCAGCTGATGGCAGCAGCTGTCGGTGAGACGTTGGTTGCATGTGGCAGCAATATGCAAAACAAGAATAGTTCTCTTCGGCATGCCAAAGATTTAATACCCCTGCTCAGGTACGATAAATTTATATGAAATACAAACACGTTTTTGGCTGATAGCGTTTAGGGGATGGATGAAGTTTTAGACTAATCTGTTTGCGGCGTAATAACACTGTATATTTATGAGATAGAAACTAAGAATTGGAATTTGAATCAATACTTTCTAGGTCAGCATGATCCGGTCCGATCTGGCTGATACCGACAGAAATTCGGTAGTCAATACAATTTTTATACTGAGCGACTTGATTGCAAGAAATAAAGACAGAACAATAGTTTATTCCTATGGGGTAGCCATAATCTACCCTTCGGACAATTGCTTTCTATAGGGCCACCCTCTGGCAGGAATATAATAATCGAATCTGAGCTCAAACAAACCTCTTGCTGCGTATATCCCAGATGGCTGCCGTGTGATCGAAGGAACCCGTCAGCAACAGCTGGCCATCGCGGGAGTAGCGTGCTGCAATCACTTCGGCGCCGTGATGTGAGAGCATCTGCAGTTCCTGTGCTGATTCCGTATCAAAGATGCGTGCCTTGCCATCGATGGAGGCCGTTGCAATGTCCTTATCGTGGACAGGATTGAATTCGGCAGCCACAACCTCAGCGGTATGTCCGAATAGGGTGCTCTGGCACTGGCCGCTGCTCGCAGACCAAATCTTGGCCGTGCCATCAAATGAGCCCGTAATTATTTTGTCACTAAACAAGGGAAGCATTAACACCAATTGGACAGATAGACGGATTCTTACAGACTGACCAGCGTGGCGTGTTGTAGCCAACGGAGAAGACCACATTGTCGTGACTGGTGAGGACGTGCTGCACTTCGGCGGTGCTGGTATTGATCACGTGGCAGGTGCGATCGTAGCTACCCGTCAAGCAGTGTTCCCCACTCCGATCGAAGCAGACGTTCGTCAGCGGAAGGATGTGCGACTTGTAGCACTTGTGCAGATAAAACTTCTTTTTGACCGGTTCGCGTAGCTTGGCCTGCAGTTTGGCTATCGCCTGCTTTAGCGCACTGAACATGTCCTGGCTGCTCGAGGCTTTGCAGTTGGCGGGCGTGCAGGGCATGGATTTGTCCACACTTGCAACATCCTGGCCACGTTCCGCCTCCATGACCTGCAGCTCCTCGAGCAGGATGCTATCTGCCAGCGCTTCCACATTTGTTCTGTTTACGGGATTAGCAAGAGATTAGTAGGCAGGCCATTATCCTTGCCTTGAACTTACTTGGCATCTAGGTCGAGCAAATCAAAATGTCGCAGCCGCTCCTCCTCACCCTTCGAGGATCGATAACTCAAGGCCAAACCTATCGAATTGGAATTGCATTAAAAGGCTCTAACCGGACTATTGCTCACCACCTGGTGGAAAGTAGCGCAGAAAGATTTTATTCGCGCTCATTTCGCAGCTGTTGTCGAAATTCCTTTGCCAGGACACGTTGCCAGCTAGTTTGAGTTCAGCTTGCTGACCTGCTTTAATTTGTTGCTCGTTGCCGTGTCAGTAGAAGACGGGGAGGAGGAGGAGCGTTTGACATGCCATGTCATATTCGACTAGTTTGGTCGATTCTCTGGGTTGTAGGTCTGGGTCGCTAAGACCTATGGGGCGGAAGTGAATATGTCTAGTTTTGGCCAACCGAATGTTTTTGCAAGGAATATGCTTTGCTGTGAAACGTATAAGATAATTTCTCCAATTTAATTTAAATGTAATAAAATCTGTGAATTGTGAAATTCCTCTATTAACAATACGTAAGCTTTTTCTTCTTTTAAAAACTATTCCGTGGACAACAAATTAAGCTTAGATTTGCACACAAAATCTACAGGCGACAAAGCTTCTCAACTTGCTGAATAATTGTAGGCAAGTGTCGAAAAAATGAACGCTAGATGTCGTTAGCAAAAAAAAAATGGTTTGTGTACTTACCGCAAATAGCCAAAAAAAAATGGTTTGTGTACTTACTACAAATAGCCTAAAAAAAGCATATTTCATTTGAATTTTATTTTAAATTTGTGAATAAAAAATTAGCTATAATATAAGTTATTTAAGCAATTCTGAAGTATTTTAGATGTATTTATTACATTTTAAGTAAAATAAAAGCGAGAAGAAGGAGGAGTAAAGCATATATTAAAAAAATCCTATTTGTTGACCCCGAGCTAAGTTCCAAACAAGCAAAATTATATTCATAATTGTGCGCGTAAATAGGCATAGATTTCAGCCTCGGGCATATCCTTAAACGCTTTTTGAACCACAGGTGCATGCATATTTGCGTTTATATCTATCAATGTTAATTAGCTTGTTTAATTCTATAGGTCCCAAAGGCCAATTGATGCCAGCACCTGTTCACATTGTCGGCCGGATTTAACATACATGTGTATTTTTGCTCAAATACAGTTGTAGTTGACAGACAACGAACAGACAGAAGAACATACTGTCTCTTCTCCAGCACTGGAGGCAATTAGATTGTCTTACCTTGTCTCGTGCCTCGCTTCAACATTTCCACTAATTTAATTTGTTCTGTAATCACTGAGACGTGGACGCCAGGGAAGGAGACTGCCCTCTCGCTCTGTCTCTTGTATGTATGTGTGTGTGTGTAAGTGTGTATGTGCGTGTGTGTGTGGGCTGCAACACAAAGTAATGTCCATTAGGCTAATACATGAAACGGCAGATAGCACCAGATGAATAGAGAATAAAAGTAAGAGTGAGTTTGAGAGGGAGAAAGTGCGTGCGATGGGGGAGATGAGATGAGACAGAGGCGGAGAAACAGAGAGAGAGAGAGAGAGAGAGAGAGCAAATGACCATAGCCAATAATGATAACAAATAATTAGATACTTATTATCGCACCCAATTTTGTAACAGTGAACCAAACTGAAACGGACAGCAAACAAAGGGAAAGAACACAGAAAGATGGGTGGCAAATTTAGTAGTATAATGTGGGAGGAACACGCAGAATATGAATTTAATCTCATTGATTTGACCATGCAAATGGAAGCAAAAGCCAAAGGCAGATGCCCCGGGCAGAGTGACTCATTATGATGAGCCCATTAATGTAGATTCCTTGACATATTTTTAAAAGAACAACCACATCTGTTGCCCCAGATCAGATCGACTTATTTAGGCGACATTTTTTTGTCGCCCATTTTTGACATATGTAAGTTAGAGTTGGGCGAGATGCGGATGCGGATGCGGAAGTTGTAAAGGAAACGACCGACCGGTGACGGTGGCGGAGTGAACTGAAGAATGGAAATGAAATCAATTTAAAATCGCATAAAATGGCAAAGCAAAGCAAATCTGAAGTCTAGGCAGGCAATGAACATCAAGCGGATTTAAATTTATGCCCAATAAACTTTTGTTGATTTTCGGCAAGAAAGATGACTGGCAGTACTTGAAGGATGTGCGTGTGTGGATGAGTCCTGAAATGCGGCGCTGCATAAATTAAAGGCAGACACATACACTCTACACACACTCCACACACACACACCCACTGAATGAGCTACCTGTATCCCAAAAATATTATTGCCGTCATTTTTTCATGTGTGTTTTTTCGACAGTTTGCGAGTCTTCTTCGTGCTAGGTCAACGCTGTTTCCGCCCACTCCCCCTCCTCCTGCTCCTCCTCGTCCGACCCTTAGTACACCTTGGTTAAGTAAATTATGCTTAAATGGCATAAACTGTTACACTGCTCAATTTCCAGGCAGCTAGAGGCTTAAATGTAGATTATTGATTGAAAATCTGAGTAATGCATCATCAAAAGATATTCGGCTTAATTTTTGGATAGCACATCGATTTCCCGTTATTAATACCCTATAAAGTAGACAATGTGAAGAGCATATAATCTTTTTTATAAGCCATTTCCAGTTCGAGCATCTTCCTCCTACTTGCATTTATATTCTTTTTGTAGTATTTTTAGGGAAAGGCATGCTTCATGCTATTTTAATCATATTTGCCACAGCTTGGCAGCAATTGACCATATTGATGGCTTAAAATGATGCTATGAGAAACTTAACAGCAATCCTCCGAATCCTAGAAGCCAATAAGATCCAAAAGTCTACGAATTATATTTCTTTATAATATTTTTGAATTCTTTTGAAATCTGTAATGACAATATTTCAGTTGTAAGATATTTGTCTGTTGAATCATAGAAGTGCTTGAATGTCAATGGAGAGTCCTTTTTCCTGTGAAGTCATCAAAATGTGCTCTTTCAAAATCCTTACGGAGATGGCAGAGCCATGTCCTTTTCACAACCAAATATTTTGGGGCATACTTTTAGGGCATCACACGATGGGCAGAAATTAAACGATATAAGAATTGCCTTATGTTGAATATCATATGTATATTAATATATATTCCATGTATATTATATTAATTTATACAATTAATTCGTATTTGTAAAGGGTTAATGTCTTGAACTCAGCTTGATTCAGGACCTCGCCCATGTGCATTTAAAATTAACTTAATAACGTTATTTACTCTGTAGCACAACTCCGGTAGCAAATACGATACTTTGACTAAAACTACAAATCATCAAGATCTTAAACTAAAATCGAAATTTACCTTAAAAATCTAATTTAGATTACTTCCTACATATCTGAGAAGGAATTTGATTAAGCATGCCTCATTTAAAGTTAATGGTTTCCTTTTAGGTCTAACTTACAATAAGTAATCTTAAACTTGGAAATGCTAAGAAACTCAATATTTAAAAATGTTGAAGATTGCAACATATTTGAGACAACTTCATTTAACAAATAAGTTTATCAACTGTGTAGTTTCCATAGACAGCAAATATCAAAAAGTTTACAAGTGTGTTTTTTTCTCGAATTGACACGAATCTGTTGCTGGCGGATTGTAACCCGCCTACGAGAGCCCATCATTCATACGGTATAGTCGTTTAAAAGTTTATGACTTTGATAAATTAAATTGGGCACGGCTTGCTGCTTACATACACAAATACATACATACAATGGGCGTATTAATATATATATACACACACACAAACACACACACAATTTGTATGCCTACTATGGTTCAAGGGAAAGTTTTAAGCTGAGGGCTCTAAAGCCGTTTATGGTCAAATGAAATGCAGACGCATCGAAATGTTATTAAATTCAACAATATCCGACTCAAAGTAAGACTCGCAATCAGATACATTCACAACCAGCGCGAATCGACTGAGTGTGTGCTTGTGTGTGTGTAACTTGAGGTTTGTTTTGAGCTTTATTAACCGGGAAGAGCCACAGCAGCAGCAGCAAAAAGGACGGTTGCGCTGCAGCAACATTCTGTGCGGCTTTGCGGCCACATCAAGTATACGCACCATAAATCAGAGCAACGACCCAAACCGCTCACAACATGCCCAATGACGTATTGAATGCATTAAACTCTGTCTTAAATTGCGCACCGGCAGCTCGCCATAACTTTAAGTGGTGCTTAAAATGAATTATGCATTGCCGGTGTTATTATATATTTATGGCCATAAGCATACCTGAGCCGATTGGTCGCACATTAGGCCACAGATTGTTGCTTCGATCAGTCCTGAAATGGCATGCTAAGTTGTGAGCATTATATTGAACGCTTATCTGAGATTGTTTTGGACAATATACATATAAATATGCATAATACTTTAAGATTCTACCTGTTTTCATTTATTATATTTATCGATTTTCCATTATTTTATTTATTTAAATACACAGTTGGGCTTGGGGTAAGTTGATAATTATATTAGCGCATTTTGATTGTAATTCAATAATTCTCAAATCACAAAGTATTGATTCAGCATGTTTCTAAAATGTCAAAAATTGACTTGGGCATCGACGAGTTGGAATGGAGACTTGATTAGGTTGAACAACCGAGTTGTGATAAAAGTTGCTTCCGAACCCGAATCAATTAATGCACATGCCTTATATTTGATACCTGCATAGTAGATATTTTTTGGATTTCGTGGAGAGGATTGTGTTTGCACACGAAACAGTTCAACCATAACTTTTACTGCTTTATATAAGCAGCTCGGATAATTATTTTAAATTAAATTTTCAATATTTTCAAATTAAATAATGTGTAATATGAGCAATATGAGCTAGAATTGAAACAATTACATATTACTCAATAAAAATCTATAAATATGATAAAATTAAAGACCATTTGCCAATTAATACGATACTCAATTCAATTAGTCAAAAATAATCAAAACAATTATTTAACACAAGGACAAAATTAAGGAGCATGAAACGAAACTAATTAAATTAGTCTGTATTTCATATTATTATTTTAACACCATATACCACAAGCAGCAAGATAGTTAATGAATTTGATAGACAACTTTTTAATAACATATTTATATTTTATTTATTAATAAGCTTAAATTTTGCAAAGCAAACAATTTTTTGTATGAAAGGATATACAAGAGAAAATCTGGTTATCAGTAAATTGCCTTGTTTTTGTAATATTAGACTAATAGGGAATGCTTTTATGTGTATGCACGTGTGTGTGTGGTATTTAGTTGTATAAATGAGTGTTGTTGTGGTTAAATCTGTGTGTTTTGCTCCAAACATGCCACAAATTAAATGAAATCGACAAACTAAGCGGAAAAAATATTGAGTTCGTCGCCCCAATTGCATTTAATTGCCAGCTACAAAATAGATTTATTTGTTTTAACATTTTTGCTGCGATACTTAAAAAAATTCAATAGCAAACGGAACTTTG